GTCTCGTTGACCCTCCCACCAGGACTGTTCCCTGGGAGGGTGTAGGGAGGAGAATAGATGAGGAGGGCAAAGGAGGGAGAGAAAACAGAGCAGGAAGGGAAATATGGGGGGCTGAGGAGTGAGGCAACTGGAGGCTGAGCATCCTGATCAGGTGGTGACCTCTCCAGGCCTGGGGGAGAGGGGAGGGCAGATATGGAGCCTCACCCTCCGCGGGCCAGAGGTTTGGATTGGTGTGGGTAAGCCAGAGCTGCTCTTCCCTGTGGTTTGGGTTGGGAGGGTGTGTAGTGTTATTTCTCACCTGAGTCTAGACAGGCCCCTCTTCATCTTTATGCCTCTATCTCCATGTTTCAGGAAGGGAAGGAGGGTGCAGAATGGAGTCAGGAAAGGCAACTATGGTGGGAGTAGAACAGCCGTGGGCAAACTACGGCCCGCGGGCGGGATCCGGCCCATTGAAATGAATAAAACTAAAAAAAAAAAAAAAAGACTGTACCCTTTTATGTAATGATGTTTACTTTGAATTTATATTAGTTCACACAAACACTCCATCCATGCTTTTGTTCCGGCCCTCCGGTCCAGTTTAAGAACCCATTGTGGCCCTTGAGTCAATAAGTTTGCCCACCCCTGGAGTAGAAGCATCCCAAAGCTGAGGGTGCCCCAGGATCCAGATCATTGTCTGTCCTTGTGTAGCAGCCTCAGTCTTTTGCCCCCGGGGGGGGGGGGGCGGGGTAGGGAGGGTAAGGAGGGGCTGGCACTGAGTCTGGGGGAAGTCTCCTGACTTCTCCGAGGTCAGATTCTGAGTATAACATGGGGGGAGAGTGGGTCCTTTTCCACTAGCTGTTCTCTCCTCCCTTAGGACCTGAAGTCTAATTCTTGCTGGATTCCTTCTTTGAAGTCAGTAGGAGGTCATGCAGAACAGAGTTACTCCAACATGCTCAGTGTGATTTCCACGGTTCCTTCCTTTTCCCTCCCCAGTCCTTCCCTCTTCCTTCTCTCCTGCTTGATCGCCAAGATCTGTGTGCTCATTTCCACCCTGAGTATGTGCTCCTGGCCAGTGGGGTCTGTTTCCCAGGAATGAAAATGTGCTCCTTCCCTGTGAGCACAGAGATAGTCCTGCGGGGCTGGGAGGGTCGGAAAACTGGGGCTGGACCACAGCCAAGCTTTCTCTGAAGTTCTCTCCAAGTTAAAAACAGAACGAGTCCAGGCATTCAAAGGTAATTAGTTTAGCTCCAAGTGGATCTGGGGATAATCTCAAACTTCAAAGCTCCTCTGTGTGTCATGACCTGGGGAGTGGAGGGAGGGCAGGGATCAGGGGCTAAGGATGCACTCGGAGGCCGGAGGCCAGAGGCCACCATCCTTCACCCCCTCCTCTCATTTGCTCCCGCATCATTTGACTTTTCCTCTCCATCCCCTAGGGCCTAGGGCAGTGCTTGTGCTTCACAAGGCATCCAGGCTGCTGCTCAGGGAGCAAAGGGGCTCACCTGTGCTCAAAACCTTGTTGTCATCCACCCAAAAGGGAAATGAAGTCATGGCCAGAAGTGACGACCTTGAGTTGTCCTCCAGGCTTTCTCTCCCCTACCCTGGAAACTCACTTTGCTGTCCAGGACTGACCCTAACATCCCTGAGCCTCACCTAAAAGCCTCAGCAGTGTCTGCAGCACGGATTCATGGAACTTGGGTCGAGGTTCCCCCAGGGTCACTGGTCACCAAATAACAAGGGGCCATGTCGACCTCTCTGAGCCTGTGCTTCATGTTCCTCATCTTTGTTTTAGGAGCTAGAGATGCAAAGGCTTCGCTCTCATGGAGCTTATATCCTGTTGGATACATTCACAACACACACATTTAAAAAGAAGATTATTACAGGTTAAGCTAGTGTTATGAAAGAATGAACAGATTGGGGTAATAGGGAGTAATGGGGGAGATGGAATTTTCCAGGGCAACCAGAGAAAACTACTTTTCAGAGGTGATATCTGGGTTGAGAACTAATGGATGAGAGGATGTTCTGTGTAAAGAGCTGGGGGAAGAAACTTGTCAGCAAAGGCAACAGCAGGGGTGAAAGGCCCTTGGTGGGAAAAGGCTAGATGTGTTCAACCAACAGAAAAGAGTCGAGGGCTGTACCTGTAGTTATGAGCAGGGGAAGAATGGGGTGAGATGTGATTGGAGCAAAACCGAGGCCTGCCAGGGGCCTGCGGGGTTTGGTGAGGAGTCTGCTTTATTCTGAGAACAATGGGAAGCCTGGCAGGGTTTCACCAGGGTGTGTGATGGCTGTGCCGCTTCAGACTGGGGAAGACAAATTTGGAGTCTGTCTGAAGGTGCAGGTGAGAGGAGCTGGCGATGGAGCACACAAATAGATCCGTGGAGCCTGTCACTAGTTATAATCTAACTGGTCTACGCTTCTCGAGGGCAATACTCCCGTCTTGTCCTTGCATTGATCACACACCTGCAGCACGCCTACCATGGGCGAGCGTTGCCCTTGACTGCTGTTGGTTTGCTTCATCCTCATGCTGGTCCTCTGAAGGAGTGATTATTTTTTTTTATAAGCAAAGAAACCTCAGAGGAGTTGATTTTCAAATCCAGATCTGCCGTATCTCCACAACACTGCCCATAAAGATGCTCAAAATGTGCAACTGGATGGAGAAGAGTAAGCCACCAGTTGCCCAAGGGGTATACTGTGCAGAGTGCAGGAGAGTCTTCTGGCCTAAACTAGCTTCCCTACATATGGAAAACAGAAGGATATTTGCCTTGAAGGCCCTGAAGGTCTTAGCTAAGCAAGAGATGGGTGACCTGGGGGACGAGAAGTATATTTAGTCATTGTCACCCGTTAAGCGAACAGAGGAACTCCATACGCGTAGGTAGCACTGTCAGGGATTGGGATGCAAGAAAGTCGCATGTGGAAAAGCGAGAACTCCTTCTGGAAAAAGGGATGCGTTGAAGATAACAGGGTTGATGAATGCTGGAGGGAACAATGGTAATAATATAATAATTGATACCAATGAAAATGCCCACCATTTATTGAATGCCTTGTACATACCCATTGGCTTATGGTGGTATCTCACACATCCCTTATAATGAACCTCTGGAGTAGGTATGGCTATGGTTCCATGATTCTAAGAGACCATCAACTTGTTTTGCTGTGTTGTTTTTACTAATGGAACATAGAACACATTTATTCATGCATAACCACTTGATTCTTCAGGATAGCAATGCACAGTTGAATCCAAGCCTCCACGTGCAGAGTTGAGGAGTCTTCTGGCTCCTCCCACTGTGCACACACAACTCTCCATAACCTGCCTGGACATCTTTTGCCCCTTCAGGGTTAGCAGTATCATTTAGAGTAGGATAAAGAGTGCGGGGTCCTTCTGATTTCCTATTTTACTAAGCATGTAGCTTTGTCTTTCTTCATTGGATCATCATGTGTTGTTATTGATGTCCCAATGTATTCATTCCTCTGTCCAATGAGGGGCAAGGTCATCGTTATTGTTTTCAGCATTTATTATAAGATGCCTTCCTATTACTTTAAAAAAAAATGTGTCTTAGCATTAGTATATGAAACCGAATAGCAGGCAGGGTTCATAACTGGGAATCCAAACCTCCTATCACTACTTCTCAACATTCAAGGGAGTAATTTTCCCCTCCTCGTTCTCTCTGGAACCCTCTCCAGTCAGGCCTTTCTTCCCGCCACTCCACCAAAACTGCTCTTGCTGGGGCCACCGATGACCTCCCCATGGCCAAATCCGCTGGCCAGTCCTCAGCCATCATCTTACTTCAGCGGTACTGGCTCCATCCTCTTTCCGGGACGACCTCTTTCCGTGGCTCCCTTAGGCCTCCTGCATCAGCTGGGAGCTTCTCAGCTTCTCTTCCGCACACGCCTCACCTCCTACCACCCGAGCGGATCCTCAGACTTCTCTCTCTTCCTGCCCTCGCTTCCTCCGTGGCCTCTTCTGCTCTCATAGCTGGCTTCTCTCCGCAACAACGTTCACACAGAAATCTGCAGCCGACACAGCGCCCGCCCGTCCTGCTGCCCACTCTCCAGCACTCCTCTCCCTCTTCCCGACGCTTCTCCTCCCACTTCATCCTAAACTGGCTCCTTTTGTGGTCTTTGCATCTCAGTAAACATACTTACTCTACTTACTTGCCTAGACTCCTTCCTCTCTTTCTCTTGCTCCCTGCATATGAACCTGTAGCAAATCCTGTCAGCTAAAACTTAAAATTAAATCTAACGTGTAATCCAAAGCTACCGCCTGGCCCAGCCATGGTATCACTCGCCTGGCATAATCGGCCCACCACGTCCATCCAGGCCCTCCACAGCCTCAGTCAGATCATGGTGTCGCTGCTGAAAGCCACCAGAGTAACACAGAGTGACAGCCAAAGCCCTGGGGCCCCAGGCTCTGTGTGACCCGGGCCTGCTAGCCCCTGGCTTCCCCTCCCTCCCTGCTGCTAACTGGCTTCCCGCCAACTGGCCTCCTTACTGGTCTCACGTGTGCCAGGCACGCCGCACCGCAGGGACACAGGACTGCACGCGGGCTGCTTCCGAGCTGCTGCTCTCTCCCCCACATTCCCATGCAGCTTGCTCCCCCATTTTTGGGGGGTCTTTTTAAATGATACCCCCAACAGAGAGGCCACCCCGGTGCTCCCTGTATAAACAGCCCCCCAAATTCCGTCCCACGCGCTCTGCTTTATCCCATAGCACCTCTGTCACTTGAGATGGTGCACGCTGTCCGTGGCCCATCCATACTACCCTGAACACAAGCCCCCAGGCACAGGCGCAGTGTCGTCCCCCCCCCCCCGCTCAGAATAGCGCCCTGGGAAGCAGACCCTCAAGGGAATGCTGCTGAATCTGGGGACAAGGAAGAAAAGAGAGCCTAGGGACAGGGCTGGGCTTCTGTTCAGACGCATGCATGTCTGCATGTCTCCACTGCCAGGGCCAGCAGTGAGGACTCCTCTTCCGGTCCCACCAGGACCGCATGGCCAGCCCTGCTGACTCCTGCCCTGTGTCTCTTCCAGATCCGCGCTCTCCCAGGCTCTGGAGGCCTTTGCTATGACCGCAGTCCTTTCCCGGAGCCAGGACTGCCCCTCGCTGCCACAGCCACTCCAGGTGCCCGCGCAGCCCAGCCTGTCCCCCACCCCGCGTCACCATGGGCAGCGTCAGTAGCCTCATCTCCGGCCACGGCTTCCACAGCAAGCACTGCCGCGCTTCGCAGTACAAGCTGCGCAAATCCTCCCACCTCAAGAAACTCAACCGCTACTCGGACGGGCTGCTCAGATTCGGCTTCTCCCAGGACTCGGGGCATGGCAAGTCCAGCTCCAAAATGGGCAAGAGTGAAGACTTCTTCTACATTAAAGTCAGCCAGAAGGCCCGGGGCGCCCACCACCCCGATTACACTGCACTGTCCAGTGGGGACCTGGGGGGCCAGGCTGGGGTGGACTTCGGCCCATCTACCCCACCCAAGCTCATGCCCTTCTCCAATCAGCTAGAAATGGTAAGTGGGGGTCCCTGGTCAGGGCGGGTGGATTGGAATGGCAGGGAGAGCAACACAGGTGGAGAACACAGGGCAGGGAGGGGTGGCGGTGACCTAGACATTTAGATGTCCGAAATGCTCAGCCGCGCTGCAGAGACCGAAGGTTGGCCCATCTTAGGTGAGCCATTCAGCAAAGAGCAGGGGGAAATGAAAGGCTTGCTGAGCTCCCGGATGTAGCTGATGGTCAAGGCAAGACCACCAGCAGCATTTCCAAGTGCATGGGAAGGAGAGGGAGCTCTGGTATCGCCCGGAAGAGCAGATGGAGAGTCTGCTTGGAGAGCTGGCAGCTTCTTTTGTTAGCAGATCCTCATGTGCTGCTTGGTGGTGCGGCAGCTCGTCTCAAGCCGGGCCAGGAGCCGGCTGGCTGGCTGGCTGGATGAGGGCTGTGAGTTTCTTGCCATCATCTTTAGCAGAAATGAGGGCAAAAGAGTCCTACATACTCCAGAAAGCCAGTCCTCATTCCAGATTAAGCTCTCATGGGGCCCACCAGTGGATGCCAAAAACCATGTTCCTACTTCAGCCCCAGCACTTCACGGGCTTTGATACCCGAGGAAGCCCCGTGTGTCTGCATAGAGCCTTAAGCTTTTCAGATGAAAGGGATTCTAGATGCAAATGCTCTACCAGTGAAAATGACAAGGAAAGGGTTATGTCAAGTGCTCCTCCCAACCCTTTGAGGAGGCCACGCCGGTGTCTGCTGGAAGGGCAATAGAGGTGAGCAGGGACTTCTACAGGGAGACCGTGCCCACCCAGCCCCATGCCCCTGCCGGCACCACACAGGACAGCCGGAGCTGTTCATCTCGGGAGGCTGAGAGGAGCTGGTGGCAGGTGGCAGTTCATGGCACAGAGCGGCTTCTCCTTGAGAAATGCAACACATTCGGCAGCCTCAGAGCACCAGGCGAGGCCGCCTAGGGCTGTGACTAAGAAGGGTGCCGCGTGGCTGGGTGGACAGGGAGACCCAAGGTCATGTGGTTCTTTGTCTCCCCAGGCCTCAGAGAAGGGTGCGGTGCGGCCCACAGCCTTCAAGCCGGTGCTGCCGCGATCAGGAGCCGTCCTGCACGCCTCCCCCGAGAGCACCGGCCACCAGCTGCACCCCGCCCCTTCGGACAAGCCCAAGGAGCAGGAGCTGAGGCCTGGCCAGTGCTCCGGGGCTCTGTCCGACTCCGGCCGCAACTCCATGTCCAGCCTGCCCACACACAGCACCAGCAGCAGCTACCAGCTGGACCCGCTGGTCACCGCCGTGGGGCCCGCCAGCCGTTTTGGGGGCTCAGCCCACAACATCACCCAGGGCATCCTCCTCCAGGACAGCAACATGATGAGCCTGAAGGCGCTGTCCTTCTCCGACGGCGGCAGCAAGCTGGCCCACCCGAGCAAGGCGGACAGGGGCTCCTCCTGCGTGCGCTCGCCCATCTCCACGGACGAGTGCGCCATCCAGGAGCTCGAGCAGAAGCTGCTGGAGAGGGAGGGCGAGCTACAGAAGCTGCGGCGCAGCTTTGACGAGAAGGAGCTGGCCTCCAGCCAGGCCTACGAGGAGCGGCCGTGGCGCTACCCCGAGGAGCTGGAGGGCCCCGAGCCCAAGAGCAGCAGCCGGCTGAAGGCCTCGCAGAAGGGCCAGCGCACACAGCAGGTGCTGCACCTGCAGGTGCTGCAGCTCCAGCAGGAGAAGCGGCAGCTCCGGCAGGAGCTTGAGAGCCTCATGAAGGAGCAGGACCTGCTGGAGAGCAAGCTGCGGTCCTACGAGAAGGAGAAGACCAGCTTCGGCCCCGCGCTGGAGGAGACCCAGTGGGAGGTAAGACTGGGGAGGGCTCGCCCTGTTTGGTGCCCGGCCCCTCCCCTCCTCCAGGTCCCGGCCAGTGGTGTGTGGACACAAACTGCCAAGCACGCCGAGCTAAAGGGCCAGCTTCATGACCCAAACGAGGGACTCCCGTATTAGGGATGCAGTCAGTCTGCGCTTCTCACTCTCTCCCTGTCTCAGGCCCTCGTGGCCCCCAGGATTGAATTTATTGACCAAGTCACTGACCAAGAGGCTGGAGCCATAAGAAGCAAGGCCCAGCGGGTATCTGAGGGCCGGCTCACTTCCTCTGCTCACAGGAGGCTCAGTGGAAGCACGGCCATACCCGAGTTCATGTCGGTCCGAGAGCCACGAGAGAGCCTAGGATGCGTGACTTTTGAGGGGAGGGTCCCCACCCACTGGTGAGAGTGCCGCCATGTGTGGCAGGTCTCAGGGACAGGATGGACTGCTCCCCCCAGAAGTGGCAGTGGGGGTTCTGTCCAGTGTCTGAGATGGAAACAGGACAGAAAGACAAGGGCTCACGCACACACATGCACACACTCAAGACACCCTGGCAGTGAGGCCTCTGCATCTGGCTGCTGGAGAACCAGCTCACCCCCCATCCTGCTGCCTGAGGGCAGCTTTTCTCCCCGGGAGGCTCCTGGCGGTGCGCTGGGACAGGCGGGAGTGTGTGCATAGCAGCTCTGTGGCTCACCCAGGCAAACACTGTGTGGAAAGGGACTGAAGGGGCACTGGGTCTGGTTGGACCAGCACCACTACCCTAGCAGCACAAACATCTGTTTGCACTAGAGCTCTCTGCACTGATCCTGGCAGCCAGAATGAGGTGTTATCAGTAGTAGAGGGAAAGATCCCTTCTGTGGGAGAGATGGATGAGGGACTGGGCAGGGGAGGAGGGTGTCACTTCCTGTTTGCAGGTTTTCTGGGGCGGAAAGAAGGTGAGCCGTGAGAGCAGTGCCTTCCTCCATGTCCGTGTGGGCACAGCAGACCCTCCCGCAGTTATTGTTTCTCAGCCAGCTCTGGGGACACCCGGGGGCGTCTCTGGCATTGGGCATCCCTCCTGGTCCGTCCAGCCTGGAGCTGAGCTGGACATGGCTGTGGACCTCGCTCCCAGGTTGTCCAGTCAGGCTAGATAGTGAAACAGTCAGTTAAATAAATTAAAGTAAACATTTATAATAACATAGGTATCTCCAAACAGTTATAATAGGAATGTGTAGAGCGTTTAGTAAGTGCCAGGCCCTCGGTTCTCTCATCTGCTCCTTACCCTATGGAGGAGGTACTGTTCCTCATCCTCGCTTTTCAGTTATGGAGACTGAGGCACAGAGGGGTGGTGATCAAGAGCACATGGTTAAATGGCTTGCCCACGGCCACCGCGTAATAAGTGTCAGAGCCAGGACTTGATCCTGACAGCTTGGCCCCAGAGTTCAAGTATTTCATCCCTATACCATGTAGCCATGACGCTAATGGTCACTCAGGTCCTCAGGGTCAAGTCAGGATCCCAAGCCAGGCCCAAGCCTCAACCCTCACTCCTGCCGCTCCCTCCATAAGCAGATTGAGGCTTGGCCCTGGAAAGGCTTTCTTGGTCCCAGTCGATGCTTCCGGGGTAGTTCATGACAACAAGGGGGTTTCTGAGAAAAAGTGAGAAATGTCAAGGTGGCTGCCAGTCTTGCTCCCAGAATCCCTCCTGTGAGAGGCCCGGGCCCCAGGCTCATTCCACCAGCCTTCCCGGGGCAGCGGGACGCACTCCGTGACACACACCCAGGTGTGCCTCGGCCTTCTTCTCAGCCACTCATGGCCCTGAATGGCCCAGACCCAGAAACGCACCGGTCTGCTTCCGTGCCTTAGGTGGTGGTCGTGGATCTTGGCCAAATTTGTTGGGGAACAGGAATAGAAATGGGGGAGGCATGGGGGCAGGCAGAACACAGTCGCCCATCGTTTGGTAGATCGGAAGATCAGAACCGGGCCCTGTCTCGGAGCCAGGCGCGGTGCTCATCAGGGGGTGAGTGCATGAACGTGTCCTGTAGGGAGGACAAGGGAGCTGGGTGTGTGCAGGGGTGAGGTCAGAGAGTATGTGCATAAACATGGTGATGGAGATGGGGCAGACATGGAAGTCGATACCACTGATGTTAAATGTGGATGGTGGAGATGCCAGCAGTGGGCAGGTTAAACCTCTGGTCATTGATTGCACGTGACTATAGGCTTGGGTATAGATTGGGATTTTGACTCTGAGTTGGGGGTGAGGGAGGAATGTGGACAGAGCGAGTCAGGCTACAGAATGAAATGAGCTTCGAGGAGGGGTTTGGCCTTCATGGTCACTCAGACCAGCATGCCCGGGAGCTGTCAGGACAGCTTCCTTCTGTGAGGCAGCGGAGCTGTGGCCCGCCCCCGGCGACGGCCTCTCACCTCCCACTCTCTCCTCTCTCCCACCCCGACCGGACCCCCGGCAGGTGTGCCAGAAGTCGGGCGAGATCTCCCTCCTGAAGCAGCAGCTGAAGGAGTCCCAGATGGAGGTCAACGCCAAGGCCAGTGAGATCCTCAGTCTGAAGGCGCAGCTGAAGGACACGCGGGGCAAGCTGGAGGGCATGGAGCTGAAGACGCGGGATTTGGAGGGCGCGCTGCGCACCAAGGGCCTGGAGCTGGAGGTCTGCGAGAACGAGCTGCAGCGCAAGAAGAACGAGTCCGAGCTCCTGCGGGAGAAGGTGAACCTGCTGGAGCAGGAGCTGCAGGACCTGCGGGCGCAGGCCGCCCTGCAGCGGGACTGCACGCCCCGGGGGCCGGTGCTGGGGGCCGGGCCGGGGCCCACCTTCTCCGAGGACATCCCGGCCCTGCAGCGGGAGCTGGAGCGGCTGCGGGCTGAGCTCAAGGAGGAGCGGCAAGGCCACGACCAGATGTCCTCAGGCTTCCAGCACGAGCGGCTGGTTTGGAAGGAGGAGAAAGAGAAGGTGATCCAGTACCAGAAGCAGCTACAGCAGAGCTACCTGGCCATGTACCAGCGGAACCAGCGCCTGGAGAAAGCCCTGCAGCAGCTGGCCCACAGAGATGGGGCCGGGGAGGCTCTGGAGATTGACCTTGAAGGGGCCGACATCCCCTACGAGGACATCATAGCCACCGAGATCTGAGGGGCCTCCTGGGAGGGGAGAGCCGGGACCGGCATTGGGAGGCAGGATGCAGGGCTGTCCAGGAGGGCTCCCTCCCCTCCTCCCTGCTCAACAGCTGAGCCTCTGAGAGAAGCCTGCCCGGGCACAGACCTGGGATCCTCGGGGAGGGAAGCAGAGGGGAGAGAAGGGACTGCCTCTGGCCTTCCTCCCCTTTCCCGTGGCGCAGTGCTCACCACTCTGCCGCCCACCAGACCTCTAGCCTTCCCGAGAGATGGGCCAGGCGTCTCCATCATTTGGTCAAGGTCTCCCTACACCTTGGCCTGTATTCAAATACTTAGAGATACCCTTCCCCAGGGATGGTGGTGGCTGCCACGAAGGTCAGCGACCTCCTCTCTTCCCACTGTCTTTCTCCCCGGACACACTGGGATGCCTTGGGAATAGAACGAAGCCATTTGTGACCAGAATCCTTGTAATCTGACCCAGTCATCACCTGAGCTCTTCCTCTGGCTGAGGAGGCGCAGGGGTTGGGGCGGGGTGCTGGAAGCTGGCTTGGCCACATCAGCGCTGCCCCGGTGCCGATGCCGGCCACAGAAAGGAGGGGAGAGCTGGGTAGCCCCGGTCAGCGAGGACCCCAGGGGCAGAGGGAGAAGCTCAGTAGTCTGACCCGACCCTGCTGGGCCTGCTGACATGGTGAGCCGCCTCTGAGCAGCCGGTGGCCTTTGATCTCAGTGACCACTTTTCTTAAAGCCATAGATACCTGGGTAGGTGCTGGGAAGGGAAGGTTGCAGGCTCGGGGACACGGGTGGGCGTGGCATTCCAGCTGTCCCAAGGAGAGCCTGGGATAGTTCCTGGTGGGGTCTGGAGGCGCGGCTTCCCCACCTGGCTAAGTTGGCCAGCGGCTACTTTGAACTTGTTTTCTTCCCAAGAACCCAGCCTTTGCTGGATCCAGAATAACCTGTATCCACTAAGATGGTCAGGACGACCTGGGCAGTGGCACGCCTGCTCCCTTCACGGCTCCAGGGCCAAGTTCAGACAAGAGTCCTTCCTGGTCAGGAGGGGTCCCCAGAGTGCCGGGGCCCGAGCCCCAGGCAGGGAGACACAGCCTTGTGAACGTCCCAGGGCCACACGGGCCTCCCTCCACCCCGAGCCCTAGAGCCGGACTGTCAGGAAGCCAGAGGCTGCAGCTGCTGGGAGCTGGGCCGGCGCCGGGGGAGGCGGGGTCTCCGTTCTCAGGATGTGCAGCGCTGGGGAGCACAGAAAAGGTAGAGTTTCTCAGTTGCTTGTTTCAGAATTTTTTTTTCTTCTTTTTCTTTCTTTCTTGTCTTTTTAGAAGCCAGCCAGATCTAGCAGGCAGCCAGGCTGTTCCAGGTTCTATTTTTGACTCTAGCCGCAGCTGCTGTTCCTAGGACAGCCAGCCCTTGCTGGGTGCCCGTGCCTCATGCCTGCCTGTCGGGGGAGGGGGGCTCCCCGGGGCACTCGGCTGTTCCACACCGGTCCCCCTCTGTCTCCCGACCTCTGACCTTCAGCTACAGACTCCTGGTGGGAATGAAGCTGCTCCTCTTCCTGCCCCGGTCCCTCCAGGACCCACCACATTCCTTCCCCGAGTCCGGTTACGCTGTGCCTGTCCTGCTGCCTTCACACGACGGAGGAGCGTTTCTGGAATTGGAAGCCATGGCTCTTAGTCATAAGCCAGATTTAAACCTGGAATCCACAGGCCAAGAGCCCCCTCCCTGCCTGCAGGGCCCTACTGGCCACTGGGCCTTGTGCAGAACCCCAGTCAAAGGTGTCCCATGCCCTGTGCTGTGCCGTCATCCCTCCATTTCCACCAGCGGGCCTTGGGCCCTTCCTCCCAGTGAGACTGCCCCACAGGCCAGAGAAAGGGGCTACTGGCCCCTCCCCAAGCCGGAGACACCCCGACACCCCTCCCAAAGAGCAGTCCCTCACCTGAGAAGAGGTGGGTGCTAACCAGGGTATGACCGTGCCCTGCACCCCACAGCCCTGCCCCCAGCCAACCCTTGGATTCCTCCCTGGGCTGCCACCAGCCCCAGGCCCCAGGATGGCCCACAGTGGCACCAGGGTGCATCAGTGACTTGTAACATAGCAACCTCACCACCGCGTGGCTTTTGTCCCCTCCCAGTGGAAACTGTGCTTCCTTCTCCTGGACCGTGCCCGCCAGACCCAGCCTCTCCAGTCGGGGCTCTGGACAGCAGAGGCTGGCAGGACTGGGGAGGTCGGACAACTGGGCCTCAGAGCAGGCAGCCTGGCCCAGGGCCCTTCCCTCTGAGCACTCCTGCTGGCTGGCTTGCTCGCGCCCCCAAGATCGCCTGGCCTGAAAACGCTCCAGCTGTCTGCAGAGAGCGCAGCAGCCGCACCACCTCTGCGAGGAGGAGGGGGCTCTGCCTCGGGGACTTGGGATGACCAGACTCAGGGGCGGGCGCCCACTGCAGGGCACACTCCGCCCATGTGGACACTGAGCTCTGTGGTGACCGGGGGCCCTCTCTCCCTGAGAGGCAGCTGCTGAGCCTCTGCCCCTGCCCCGGCCTGGTCCCGCCCTAGCCAGGCTGCCCGGAGGTGAGGCAGGCTGGGCTGGTGGAGCAGCAGCTTCAGGAGGGGCGTTGAGCTGGAGCCATCTCCCCCCACCCACCCCCAAGCAGGTGGTGCTCCCCGCCCTCCCGTGTAGAGCGTCTGCTGCGTCTGCAGGCAGAGCCGGCATCCCCAGCCGGGCGGCCTTGGGACGGGCTGGCGTCCGGAAGAGTATGTACAGTCCTTTTTCTCTCGGTTGCTTCTTGTTTTGTTTGCTTTGCTTTCGACAGCTTCGTTTTATTTTATTTTTGATGCCCCTTTTGGCCATGTAAACTATTTCTGGTGGTTTTATGTTTTTATTTATGAATAAAGAGTGCCATTTCTCATGTCTTCCATGGCCGCTTTTATCTACTCAAGCCACCCTCCTTCCCCGGCTGTGGCCAGGCAGCCTTGGGGCCCCTCCATTTGAAACAAGAAAGGTGCCGCCCTTCCCACTGGGGATGGTGGGAGGCCTTGATGAGGTGGATGTTGGCTGGTGGGAACGCTGGACTTCCAGCTGGGCCCTGCACCAACTTACCTATGAGTGGGCCCTGGAAAAGGAGACCAAGGGGCATGGTCCTCTGCAAAGGCGGAGGGGCCCCTCCAAAAGAGAGCCCCTCCCCCAGCCCCACCTAAGGCCTCCCCTGCCTCTCGGCCCGGATGCTCACCTCACCAGCCAGCCCCTTGGTCTGTTGCACGTGGCCACTTCAGCAGGAGTCTAGAGTGGCCACTGTTGCCACTGCCCAGGGCCTCCCAGCTGGGAAGGTGCAGGCACCCCAGGGGCCACCTGGCCAGCCTCCCGCGGTCAGCCTGCCTCATTTACCTGGACAAGTGCCACCTACTTCCCTGGGCTTGGGTCCTAGGCTCACGGGGGTCTACTCAGGTGGCAGGTGCCGTGGAAAGGGAATTGGGCACACGAGGCAGCCTGTGGAACAGGTGACAGTGGACAGAAGACCGTGCCTCTGCAGGGGACTGATCAGAGTGTCCAGGGAAGGTGGCAGGCAGCAGGGGTTGGGGGCAAGGGTGAGACATGGAGGAGGGAAAGATAAGAAACTCATCCCAGGACAGGCATTCACACCATCCAGGGTCCCTCCCGCCCACACAGGCGCCAGGAGCATGTTGGCGAGGGAGGGAGGCCGGGCTGCCATGAGCCTCCAGCCCCAGGAAGGTCGGTGACCAAGCTGGAACTAGATCCCGCATCGGTCAGATTCCAAGGCAAAGGGGTCATGTCGGGCCTGGGGTGACACTGTCGGGTCTTCCTCCGCGGTGTGGCCCAAGGCTGCTAGGCTGTTGCACTGGTGACACCCCCTGGCCTGTCTCCCACTGTTCCCACCCATGTAGCCCCCTCCCCTGGAGTTCAGCCACGCCCTGGGACTCACTTTCACCTTCCACTTTTATACTCTTGGGGGCCCTGAGCTGCCTTGTAGGAAGCCCCCCAAGTCTACTAGCGAGACCCCAGGGGGCAGGAGGTCCTGTTGTCCCAGCTGGGCCCCAGCTAAGTGCAGCCGAGCCAGTGACCAGGACGCAGCCAATCCTGAGGAACAGACCTGCTCCTGCTTCTGCCCTTCCAGAGCCTGGCCTCAGCGCCCAGCACACACCAAATGGCCCTCAGTTCGGGGGATTGATTATGTGGCTTAGCAGGAAATAACCAAAACAGCCTCTGGCAGCCAGGCCCCTGACAGGCCACCCCGGCAAGCCCCTCTCCATCCGCAGGGCGGGGAAGGAGAGGGCTCAGAAAGGGACAGGCCGGGGAGTGACTGTTCCAGCCGCAGGAGTTGGCAGCAACGTGGGGAGCAACGGCTTTCCCCACCCCCACTTCCCCTGGAGCCCCGTCCGGGACATAGGCCTTCCGTGAGCCTCCAAACCAGCTTATTATTTTAGGGGTGGGGGGGGACAAAAGGCAAATATGAGACGGAGAGAGAGAGAGAGACAGACAGACAGACAGACTCTGGAGAGCGGTTCTCAACCTGTGGGTCGCGGCCCCTTTGGGGGTCGAACGACCCTTTCACAGGGGTTGCCTAAGACCATCGGAAAACACATATATAATTACATATTGTTTACAGTAGCAACATTACAGTTATGAAGTAGCAACGAAAATAATGTTATGGTTGGGGGCCACCACGACATGAGGAACTGCATTACAGGGCCGCTGGCGGCATTGGGAAGGCTGAGAACCACTGCCTAGAGAAGCAGAGGGAGCCTCGGCAGGGCCGCCCAGCGCGGGCACAGGCGTCCTCGCGGGGCCCAGGACAGAGCGCACCGGCCATGTGCTTGTGAGGCGGGAGGCAGTGGCCACGGTCCCCATGCAGCCTCCGCAGCAGGGAGGAAAGCCATGCTGCTCCCAGATCTCCCCGCAGCCCGTGCGTCACAGGCGAAGCATCAGACATCCCCGTCCATCCCCTCGGGTGCTGCCTGTGTTCACTCAACAAATATTTACCGGGGCCGACTGGGTGCCAAGCTCGGATCCAGATACTAGAGATACAGGTGAACGAAAGCAGCTGCGGCCCTTTCCCCTCACAGGCCTCACACAGTGCGAGTGACAAATAAAGCGGGTGCACCTCCATCCCCAGGAGCCGTGAGCGCTGTGAGGGAGACACACGGGCACCGTGGTCTGTGCACAGGTGGTGCTGGGCCTGGAAGGCAGAGGGAGGGGGGTGGCTACGGGGAAAGGGGAGCTGGAGAACCAAAATGTCCCCTCCTTCCACATGTGGGGAGACTGCTAGTCACTGTCCTTTCCTAACTCGGGCCTTCCTCCCCCCCCCCCCCCCCCCCCACCCTCTGGGAAATCTTACCTTCCCTGGGGCCTCAGCAGACAGCTTCCTGGCAGACTCCCCACTGTCCTCTGGCGCAGCCTCTCTCGTTGCTACACCTGGATGTCTCCTGCAGCCCCCATTCCTCTCCCACAAGACAACTCCACCAGTCACGTCCAGTGAAGGCCTCGGGCAAGCCTGGCGCATTAAGCATCGCTCTTCCGCGTGTGCAAGTGAAAAACAACTTTGTGAAATGGCATCATCCTTGTGTGGGTGCTAAAGTTTCCATGTAACTTGCTTAGAAATGTTCAATTAATTTATCCATCTACACATATTTTTAAACGTCTGTTTGTTGGGGCGGGAGGGTCTGCTTTGCTGGGGCCTCCACAGACATTTACCCAGCCGACGGTCTGATTGGAACCGTCCCCAGGACTGCTCTATTCCTCCAATCTCAATCCCGTCAGGCAGGGGGAGCCGACCTGGGCCCCTGCTTTTCCTTGATCCTCTCTTTCCAATCAGATCCTAGATCCTGTAGAGCAGTGGTTCTCAACATTCCTAATGCCGCCAGCTACCTTTAATACAGTTACTCGTGTTGTGGTGACCCCTGACCATAAAATTATTTTCGTGGCTACTTCATAACTGTAATTTTGCTACTGTTATGAATCGTCATGTAAATATCTGATATGCAGAATGTATTTTCATTGTTACAAACTGAACATAATTAAAGCATAGTGATGAATCACAAAAACAATATGTAATTATATATGTGTTTTCCGATGGTCTTAGGCGACCCCTGTGAAAGGGTCATTCGACCCCCAAAGGGGTCTCGACCCACAGGTTGAGAACCGCTGCTGTAGAGTCTACTTCTTAAAGCTCTCGCCTCCCTCCTCTTTCCTTCCTACGCCCACTGGCCCGGCTGAGGTCGTTACAGAAGTACAGAACGCCCAAGGCATCCTAGACATGTAATTCCACCCACCTCACTTGGACAGATGTGCTAAAGAGAGACCAGGAAGGACTTCCTCAAGGTCACACAGCTAGTGGATGACAGACACAGGCACCGTGATGACCCTGCTGACCCTGCCGGCTCCTTGGCCCCGCTCCGTCCATCAGACACACAGGCACACAGAGGCGGGTTTATCCCCCCCGGCTGCTCCCACCACGTCCTCCTCTGCTCACACCCTTCCGGGGCTCCCCACTGACCCCCGAATCAGGTTCAATGCCCTCAGCGGGCTTCAAGCCTCTCCAGTTTATGGTTCCAACACCTACCATGGCAAACCTGAACCTAACCGCTGATCAAAGTCTCTTCACTGAAACGTCACATCTACCATCAATATAGGCTCAATGAACACCTATACGGTCCTCTTGTCAGTCATGATCGTTGTGAGAACCGCCCCCCCCCCCCCGCCCCCCCCCCCCCCCCCCCCCCGCCCTGTCCTGTCCCACCTGAGGCCCAGGGGCCTGGATGGGAAGCAGCACAGCCGGGGGGCACGCGCTCAATCTGCGGATTCTGAGCTGGCTGCACTGCACCTGCCCCGTGACCTTGGATAAGTTACTTAACCCTGTGCTTCAGGAGGTTGTTAGGACGATTAAATGAGATAATGCCCAATAAAAGTAAGCTAGTGTTGCTACTATTATTACTATCACAATGTGTTCACCATGCTTATTCTTGTTTGTGAATACAATGCCTGCCACGGCTTCCATCTGTGATGGGCTACTGTGGCACCCAGGCTCCAGCCGCCCCAGCAAAGCTGCAGCCCTGGGGGTACAGCTGACTGGTTCTGGTCAGCTGTCTCCCCCACCCCTCTGCCCCTTCTCAGCTCCAGAAGGCTGGCTTGTGGGGAAAGCCCTGGGGGAGAGGGCACAGCTGGGGAAGAAAGGAACAAAGAGGAATTTGCGAGGGGGCGTGCGAATGGCCTGGGCCTGAGCCAGCCTGTGACAACCAAAACCCCTGCCAGAGGGAGCAGTTAGCATCCGGCCCCCCACCCAGTGCAGCCTCTCCTCGCGCAGGGCCCCTCCCCCACCCAGCCCTGCCTCTCAGTGCCAGCCTGGGCGCACACACTCACACCGCACAGGCACACACACATGCTCGCGTGTGCACACACACAGGCACAGATCCCCTCCCCCCCCACGCCCCCCCCCTTCTCCCTCCTGCTCCCGCCCCCATTGCCCCAATTAGGGCTAATTGAACAGTAAGGAGCTCAAGACAGCGTGCATGGTCAGCGACAGGCCAGGCAGATGAAAGTCCTTGCACCACAGGTAACAGGATGATTAGCCTGCGAGATCCCTCACCAGTGGCGCCTTCTGGGGCTGCGGCCCGAGAGGCCCTGTGCTCACAGCCTGTGGGTGCAAAGCCAAGGCTCCCTCTGCTCGACTGGTTTTTCCAGGCAGGAAGCTGGGGCGCAGCAGAGCGGGGGGGGGGGGGGGGGGGCAGGGGTGCTTGCCAGGCCCAGGGAAGGGAAATGGGGAGCGCTGGCTGGGCTGCATGACTTCCCAAACCTGCACTTGCACCTACCCCCGCAAGGCCCCGCATTTCACACGGGAAGATGCTGTGACTCGGGGAGCCAAGGTCCCTAGCCAAGGTCCCTAGCCGCGAGGCCTGGTTGAGG